TTGTGTGTGTGTGTGTGTGTGTGTGTGTGTGTGTGTGTGTGTGTGTGTGTGTGTGTGTGTGTGTGTGTGTGTGTGTGTGTGTACACAGAATACATTATATATAGATGGATTATGTACCTATCACTGTTGTTGGTTGTTGTTCTGGTGATGGAGTCGATGACAGCCTTCGGACTGCCTCGCGCCTCAGGAATTCCACCTTAGCCATCTCGGTAGCAACCCAATGGGGAATATCGGGAATCGCACAAATAATCACGAATCGAATCGCGAACATTATATGTTCCAATGCCACGATTAATAAAATCGTCTGCGTTGCTGACATTTCTGGAAACATTCGTTGCACCTGCCCACTCAGTCCGATCAGGGCGCAGTTTACTAAAATAGCGACCAAGCCCATCGCCTCCATCGCGTTCTATTAAAGTCGTAAAATTGAACATGTAAATTAGGCTAAATATTAAATTTTTAACATTTTACAATGTGTCTTCTAATACACGAGCATAATTTTGCAGATTTTCATGCAAAAATAAAAAAAATTTATCCTAATTTTAATTTCAAATCACGTTTTTACCATCGAATATTTTATTTTTGTTTTGACAGACAATAATTTTTTAACAAATATGTCATAAAAGCTTCTGCTTGATTAAAGTAATCACTTTGAATACTTTTCGTGAAGATAAATAAAGATGATTTTTTTTATAAGGGAGAAATTTTAATATAAAAACAAATGTAACTTAGCAAGATCAGGTATGACATATTAAACTTTTTACATTATTTTGCGGATTAAATTCATTCTCGAATTTATGTCCGCGTATATTATAAATTCGAAGATCGTTTTTCACTTACTTGCCATGTGCCGATATTCGAGACTCTACGCCCGAAAGGTCGTTGAAGCACGAAACATAGTTTAAATGCGTCGCCGCGTAATTCGAGCAAATTCCCAAGTAAAGCAGCCATCGCAGCCAACGGAAATGCTGAAGAGAAGAGACAAACGTATCCTAGTTGCGATAGCATTTCCAAATGCTCTGAAAACGCTCCGTCATACTGCAAATTGAAAATCGTTATTCATTAAACTTATACGACATGTAAGTATTACAAGTATTTTACGAATTGTCTATAAATTAGAAAATTTAGTCGAAAAGATTTTTATTAGACATTGTATATAAGTTTATATAATTTTATATATCATATAAATTTGCATATGATTTTTAGCGCGATTTGTTATTATGCTATATATATATAAGCATAATATTATATAAGCAGAAAACTATATAAGTATAACTACTTTTAGCAAATTTATATAAATACAAATATAATATAGAATTTTCTAATATTTATATACAAAAAAATCGCAACTTGCTAGCTTTGTTTATAATGTACATATATTTATATATGTATATATAAAATCATTCAAACTAACCTGGTAATATTTGGCAGTGAAATAAGTATAATATAAATTTATTTATATATTGTAAAAAACTTAAAAAAGAATGTCGATACGATGTCAACAAGGTGTACATATTCAGTGCTTGTTTCGTGTCTTTAAATAATTGAAACATGATAACTTATATCTTGGGCGTGCACACATTAAAAAAAACTTGATTTTTGGCAAAACGCAAACAAGGGTGGGCTTTGCGTGAGATAAGCCGTAAGAATTCTATTCATTCCTGTCGGTCACTTGAAAAGTACATAATATTGAAAAATATTGTAACATGTTATGAAAATAATTAGCCAACCAAATTGAGATGACGAAAATTTAGAAATTATTATTACTATATTATTATTATTAATTCTTATTAATTTACTTAAAATTGTAGTAATATTTTGATCGTCAAGATACTTCAACATTATGCATTTTTGGAAAGAGTTGTTTGTGACAGAAAGGATTGATCTTTAATGAATAGGATGAATATGATATTACCTTCCTGGTCGATACCTGTGCGTCGTCGATGGAATGGGTGTGAAACGGGAAAAATCATTAAAATTCTGCAAAAAGAAATGACGAACAAACGCAACAAACGACGTTATTGCTATTAATAATTCGACTCAGTCGTCATGCGATAGCGTGCTATCTGAGCGGAAACAACGGACGAAAAGATCTTAGAGGTGAGATAAGTAGGTTGATCTATGATACGACGCGTTCGATTCACTCGCAGTCTCGAACAACGCATTGACGGACAACTTGCTCGAAACTTGCTCGAGGAGAGAAACTTTGACGAGAGGGTGGCTCCGAAGCATCCATTAAAGCACAGGTCTAATTATCGTATTAACTCGACGGAGAAAATGCGTCTTCGCTTTATTTCTCGTATATATCTGGACGTATCAATCGTTTTCTCGCTTGCGAGTGCCTCGAGATCGAGATGCGTGTGCGGTGTAGTGCTCCCAGAAAAAAACGAAAGAGCTATTGGCTAAATCTAGACCAAACCTTGAACGTAACGTCACTAAGTAGAGAATTAGTGGGATGCCCTACTCTGTAGAGGGAACTCTCCAGTTCTGCCTGGCTGACGTTCCGCTGCTTCGACTTGCCGCTGTCGGGCCTGTCCTCTTTCTCCTCGCTGTCCTTACCGCCCTGCTGTGCCTCTTTGCCTCCCTCCTGGCCGGGGGGCGGTCTCGCCTCGCTGGGACTCAGGGCCCCAAACAGCTCGAAGCTCAACCGCGCCAGTCGTAGTTGCTCGATCAGATACGGCACCGCGGATTCCTTCAGATTACCGATCACCTGGCGAGCTATGAGCAGAGCCGCCAGTTGCTGAAACGCAAATTCGTATTCTCACTCACGTAGGTTAAAACGCCCCGCGGGAGGGACAATTGAATCCTCACCTCCTTGAGTCTCTCTTGATCTTGAAGATAGAAGGCGATGTAAAACAGCGATAGGAAGGAGTTTACAAACTGAAACTGAAATATAGGATAGTCGTTGTAGATTATCTAGAGATCGCAGTGACGTTAACATATACATCATATGTACAAAACGCACACAAAAGCGGTTACAAAGGCCTGTGATGTATAAGATTATTAAGCGTAAGCAAAAAAGTGTTCTTTTGCGAAAAGAATGTTCATGCAGCGACAGAGACAGCCAGAGCAGGCACTTCTGCTTTAAAACAAAAAGCTTCAGGTCTATATTGTACTTTCTTAAAATGTCTTCCTCTAATATAACGATTGCTTATTCCTCAGATATCGCGGTTACATTTTATATCAAATTTATTTGTCTGAATCACAAATTATCGTATCAGATTACAAAACTGAATAAATAACAATTGAAATATTATTTCTGTAATTATAAAAAATTCTAATTTTTAATAATACGTATTGTATTTATATTTTAAATGCAGAATTTATTACATCTGTTAAAACATGTAACGTAAAATAATTTCAGATTGAAATTCATTGTTTTATAAAAAAAAATTATTTTGTCTGAAATCATTTGTTCAGCAATGTTATACAGTGTATTCAATGAATTCTGATATACTTGATAAAAAAATAATTGTAATAAAATATCACGGTTTGTTAAACTAACCATGATGAAACTATTAAACTATACTTCTTTAAATGTAATGTTATATTCGATTTTTGAGAATTAATGTAAAATTAATTTTTTATCGAAAAATTAAAATTAAGCGGGTCAGACAAATTACCATATAATTATATAATTTTATCTATATTATTGATATAATTTTAATTTTTAAACTCAACTCATAATACGCCATAAAACTTTTTTATGATATATTACGAGTTGAAAAATCTAATATTAAAAGTCTGTTATACATAATTACAATTTTAGCTTTTTAATTCAACTCATAATATACAATGAAATAAGTAATGATCTAAAGATAAATGATGAAACTTTTTATTAATCGCGTTTAATTAGAGGAGGACTTGTGTACAACGTTTAGCACAACATTGATAGTCTATTCGTTGAAAATGGAGAGTTCTTCTTATTACCAGTGCCACTTTGTAGATCAGATGATTCTCGTACTCGGTGTCTAGTCGATAGTTTTCTGCGTCCAACACACAAAAATCACAAATACTATCTACCGCACCATGAACGCTCTCCAAAATTTAAATGATAAACGATAACTGTATCTATAGTATGTCACAGGTTTAGTCACACAAAAAAAGAATAGAGCAACAATCTTTCATGTAAATATGTATAACGTTCTCGTTACATAGTCTTTCAATTAGTCTCTAGAAGAAGCTAAGCCGTGGAAAAATTATCGAAAGTATATGCTATGCTCTTGAACTAGACGTGCATAGTGTACCGTAGAATACATATATCGATGCGAAAAGTCGGCAAATGGCGATTGTTCGTATTTTGAGTCGCACGGAGATACGATTATGTCGCAAGAGAGAAGAGAGAGAGAGAGAGAGAGAGAGAGAGAGAGAGAGAGAGAGGAGGAGAGAGAAGAA